ATACACAGACCATGTTGGCTGGTGGGCAGCAGTCAGATGGTGCTCCACAGGGGGAGGTTGTTTTTACAGACAATATGCAACAAGACATCAGGCCAGACAGCAATAGTAAGAAATCCCTGGGGTCTGAGTGTGTCCTGGAGCAGGCAGTTAGGGAGGGCTGGACCCTCCAGACTGTAGGCATGCTCACATTTGCAGAACTCTTTGTCATGGTGAGTAGTCCTGAAAACTGTCAACTCTTTTTTAAATATAGAATACAACACGTTGTATCCTACATCACCCAAGGTTCCAGCCCAACCACAGGTCGGATCACCTGAAGGCTGGAAGGCTGGGACCAAGGGTGATGCAGATCTACATGTATAATACACCGTGTTGTCATACCCACCTGAGAAAACACATTTCAATGCAAAATGTGCCAACAATTGCTGTCCCTTGACAAAAACAACAGTCTAAAAGCAGTATTCACATTTTAGAAAGAAGCTTACACTAGACGCGTTCGAATTATTCTATTTATAATAGTATCATTGAACACTTGAAGCCTGTCTTATGATCAAATAGAACTCTGCACTGCTAGTCATCACATGAGCAGAAACACCCGTTATCACAGCCCAGGTTTGAAATAAATATTCTTTTGACCTGACCACAGACAGAACTAGAGTTCCACGATATCATACCTACGCCAAATAATGTAAATCTTGATGATCATATTCTCCACCAAAAGACAGTCTTATCCAAACAAAGAATGCCATTCTAGCATTTCCTCACAATTTATGTAAATTAGGTCCCTCTTTGAATAAGTTATGTTTAATGATGTTCACCTTCACTTAACTTTCAAATTTCTTCAGTATAAAAGTACAGGCAGCTACCATTGCTGAATTACAACATTTTCTCATTAATTATGCAAATTAAGTCTTGATTTACATAATCAATATCTGCCTGTGTTTCTCTCGTTCTCAATTACATACATTTGTACATGTATGCCACAAGCTTAAATAATCGTATCATGTAATGCAACTGACTTATAGAATTTCTTCATAAATTATGCAAATTACATCTATATTTGCATAATTATCACATAATTATGTCAAGCATCACCTAAGCTACCTACATACCAAAAATCATTACGATCTGTCAATCGGTTCTTGAGATATCCCCTTATCATTAAACGAACGCCCCTGCAGTTCCAGAGCAAGCTGCTATGTGGCCAAACTTACGCCACTTCTTTCCCAGTACAAGAGCTACACACTACATATCATCCAAGCATGTCTAAGTCATGAGATATCAAAACCAGAAGTTCAGCTGCTGTACCATAACAAGCCGCCAGGGGGCCCATCTAAATTCCAGATCTCATCAAGGCCTACCCACCTATCATATAGCAAATCAATCCATGTAAGCCTTCTTAAGTTATCGTGTTTACAGACAGACACTGAAAACAGAACCTTCTTGGCGAAGGTATTTTTAGTAACTAGTCATGTCAGCATGGTTCTAAGTTCTGAACTCCATTCTACTTTTCCAGTTGGGGAAGCCATCGAAGCTGCAACTAGAATATGACTGGGTACAGGAGAAGGTACGTAGCTCTTGTAAAATATTGTTAGCTTTTTGTATTGACAAAGACTATTCTGATATCCTCTAAAGTCCCCAAGATGTGAAAGCTGCATTATGTTAACATTAGGACAATACAAAAAGTCAATTTTCTGGTCATTTCTTTGCAAATTAAGTGTCAGTCAGAAAGTGGAGGTGCCAAAATATGACACCTTACAAGTATGTTCAAATGCTTGAAAGACAGCTGTCAGCCATGTTTGTTTACATTCTGGTAGTTAGTGATAGTACCACAAACTGAGTGTGCCTAGTGTGGGCAGTAGTGCCTGCCAGAAATGTCAGAAATTCGACATGAATGCAAAAATTCCTGAAAAAAGGAAGTACAATACAATCACACAAATATTTAAAAAACTTAACATAGAATATGAAATTTTCAAGCAACATTTTTGAAGCAACAAGAGAAATTGGTGATTTTATAGGGTTTTTTATTGTTTTTTTCATATATTGTTATGTATATATGTTGGTGATAAAATTGATATGTTAGAATTAGTGTGCGCAGTTGGTGTTAGTGATATTATTTATAATAATGTGTGAGGAACATGTATTTTTCCTAATTTGTCATCGAGCTGCGAACTTTATAGGCCCATTATGTAGTTTTTGCTTGCGCAAATAATTCAAATATTCTGAATCTAACAAATCTGAGTTTCATGTCATTTACTATTATACGTCGATGAAGGTTAGACATCCAGGTAATACGATATGCCAAAAAACAGTTACTCAAGCAACTGGATATGATTTTGAAAACGTCAGACGTTTCAGCTAGTATCCACTAGCTTTCGTCAGTGACTGAGAGACCAGAGGGGAAAGCAGGTTTATATACACAACCTGTTGATTGATATGCAAATAAAGTGAAGACAAATTTTTGGAAGTCGAAAAAGGAACAAAAGTCAGACAAGTCCACGGATGTCTTAGACCGCGAAACACGCTGGTGGGAACGGGGTGTTAAAGAGGCCATATATGAAAGAATGTACAACCCCACCCTCAACAGGGAAGGGGGGCTACGGGTCGATCTTTCCGGCACTTGGGATTTGGCACTCCCAACCCCGAGGACAGACAACACTTAAGCTCCTGTCCTGTATAACAGGAGCTTTCAGACTAATTTGCATCTTCTTGTCTTGACTTGTCTGACTTTTGTTCCTTTTTCGACTTCCAAAAATTGTCTTCACTTTATTTGCATATCAATCAACAGGTTGTGTATATAAAACCTGCTTTCCCCTCTGGTCTCTCAGTCACTGACGAAAGCTAGTGGATACTAGCTGAAACGTCTGACGTTTTCAAAATCATATCCAGTTGCTTGAGTAACTGTTTTTTGGCATTTACTATTACTTTTCAACACATTTACGTCATCATTTTGCGTCCAGAAGCCATTCAGTAATTTCGGCACTCAAATTAATACAGATACAAATTTAAAAAAACAATCCACATCAACTGGGCCCCTATAGCATATCATAAACTGAAACTGGGCTTGTTCACTTTGCACTCTGGATGGTGGGAGTGATCCCCTGAACTGCATTGTATCTGTCTAGACTTACAAGGTAACAAGGTAAATACTTTCCTATTGTTATTATGAAATATTATATGTCATCACCAGCATAAGTATACAAATAAACATTGATCATCAGTCATCAGCTTCATTGCATCTGAACACTGGTAATTGTATATCGTTATTACAAAGTCTAATATCTTACAATGTAATATGTGCATCACTGGCAGTATACATTTTGTACATGTACTGTGTAACCTGTTAAGTCTAGACAGATCAAGGAGGTTTAAAATCCATAGGAGACAGGACAGGATTACTGCCCTTTCAACGATGTTCACCTCAGGTGTGAAGATTCAACTTCACGTTGACGTGTCCCAATTTGAATAATGTGCACAGGCTGGGCCCATTGTTTTTGGTCAGAGAACTGTGGTGAATACGTTTATAACTGGAAGCTAGATATTTAAACTCCATGCTGGAAATTTAATGAATGGCAGAATTCCTAGATTGTGCCTGGTCTGTCAGTTTCAAGATGGCTCGCCCAGGAAATGACAGCGTTGAGTGGGATGGTTTTGAGTTCAGCCATTTCAGTGATTTTGAGCCTCATTTTCAGGAGACTGAAGAAAACTATCGGTAGTATTTTTCCTATCATCGAGAGCGGTTGCAAGAATCTCTCGTTGTGGGATCCATAGGAGAAGTGACCAGCCTTCCGAAATCAGAGGCCACAGAAAATTCTTCAATCACACTTCAAGATGAAAGAATTTTTCACACAAGACATCTGACATAGCTATATTAGTATATATTCATCAAGCTTGGGTGGTACTCAGCGGTCGCCGGCTTGCATCGGGGCACATGACGTCACGATTGGGCTCATCTGTTTGGTTCCCCAAAGATTTTTGCGGGAAAGCCGGAACCTAACATCGGGATCAATCAAGCACTGCCGAAGGGCGGAGGGTTTATGGAAAAAGGAGTCCAGTCCGATTGGCGGAAAAAGCAGTCCAGTCCAATTTTGGTTTCTACGAAATTTTACGAAAGACCATAGGCACAATTTTTTCTTGTGTGTGTACTTCTAGTTTCTATCGGTACCTCGCGTTTCTGTGAGTACTTAGAGTTTCTATGGGTACTTAGAGTTTCTATGACTATTTAGAGTTTGTATGGGAACTTGAATTAGCATATATGACTGACTATATGCCGCCTTAACCCGTAATTCAGGCAGCCTTGGGTGAGGAATAGCGGACAACTGATTTACACCTCTTGGGACCGCCGAAAAGTAGTTTCTATACATACAGGTCACCTATCCACAATAAACAAAAGTTAATTATTAAGGGATTCTTTCTTACAATTGTACTTCCGGTACTTACATGCTTGTCGGTGTAATGCAAAGTCTGCTATACGTGGCTTTAGCAGGGGCCGGCTGGATGTTGGGCAGCTGGCAACCATAAAGCGATTTAATCAGGCTACTTGCAAGCAGGATCGGCCCTGGAAATCTCGTCAGTTGACCGCTTCATCTTTTGACTAATTATTGTTATATGTAAGTAATAATCCGGAGGCATGATGATGATGATATGTAAGTTACAAACTGTAAGTTCCCATGTAAACTCTAAGTACTCATAGAAACTCTAAGTTCCCTTACAAACTCTAAGTACTCATAGAAACTCTAAGTACCCATAGAAACTCGAAGTACTCATAGAAACTTGAAGTACTCATAGAAACTCGAAGTACCCATAGAAACTAGAAGTACACACCCAAGAAAAAATTGTGCCTATGGTCTTTCGTAAAATTTCGTAGAAACCACCGGACTGCTTTTTCCACCCCAAAATTGGACTGGACTGCTTTTTCCGCCAATCGGACTGGACTCCTTTTTCCATAAATCCAAGGGCGGAAACACTAGATCACCGTGGGAACTGGCGGGTCTGAACAATAGGCATAGCGGGGTGGTACATATAATAGCGTTCTGTCTCCTCTTGTATTCAACCTCCTTGGACAGATATAGCACAGTTCAGTACATCACTCCAGAGTCCTACCTCCCCTGAGTGTATAGTGAACGAGCCCAGGAATGTAGGTCATCCCCCAGCAAGGTTTTCCCAGGGGTTTCCAGGAATTTGGACTGTGTAGGACTGTGGGCATAGATGTGTCACCAAAATTCCAGACATGCCTGTGGACATTCCATGCCTGTGGAAAAAATTCCTGTACAATTCCTAGAATTCTTGCAAACTGCACACAATACTGTATCATTAGGCTCGACCATGAGGTGTCGCCAAAAAAAGCCTGACAGTGAGTGAGTGAATAGGTAAAAGGGATGTGATACCGGTAGTTTAGATGTTGCCCTGCTCCTTTGAAGGAATGTTAACTAACATGTTTTCTTATTATTTTAGATTGTTGATGTTGAACATGTGAGTGCTGTATGGAAGATCATCCGACTAGCAGCTTTTGAACTAGACCTTCTCAGTAACAAACAGGTAACAGATTTCTTGTGTATTCCTTAGATTGTTACTGGAAAAACCCAAACCAGATAAAGTAATACTTGGTCTTAAAGTAAGATTGATTAATTAGCAGCACAAGAGCTATCTTCCGTGCAAAATTTGTGATGCTAGCATGTCTAGATATGAGATATCAAAACTGAAAGTTCTGCTGCAGTACCAAGGAAAGCCACCAGGGGCTCAAAATCTGGTAACCGACCTATGTTTCGAAATCCCTTTGTTCCGAAATCCCTATGTTCCGAAATCCCTATGTTCCGAAATCCCTATGTTCCGAAATCTTACGCTGCGTCGTCATATACAGCTCCGTGGCTAAGATACAGATGTCAAACGACCTGTCTTTGCCGACCAGTTGCCGTCGGTTTTTTTCTGGGTCCCGATTTTCCCCGTAGACGTACAACGTGCTCAGGGCACAGCAGGGCTTTAGCCAGCTCGAAATTTTTTACCGTCAACCCCAGGTCAACCCAATTCGCGAAAAAAAAAAATTACCGTCAACGCGAAAAAAAAGTTCCGTCAATGATTACTTAAACAGAATGTCTGCCTTTCACGATCCGGTCCCGCACACTTCATGCATTCAGTGTTCTAAATACCCGTCAAGATTGCAGAAAAAAAAATTACACAATCTGCAATTTTGCAGAAAGGAAAAAATAATCTACAGTTCTCATAAGGAGACAACACGCAATGAATAATCCGCTATTCCCTTTGTTTTGACCCGCTCAAATCCCGCCGCGATTCAAGCCGCGCGGATTCCCCAGCCAGCTTCGCCATGCAAATGAACCTAGTCATGACGTCACAGCCTCCGATTTCCACCGAGCCGGCCCCGAGCGCTGACCGACAGCGAGCGATGTGGCACAGATCTCCGACGATTTCCTTATTTAGAGCATTCGGAAGACTTCGGGTAGCAAACAAAATGGCCGACATGTACATGATTTTACGAGTAGCTTCGCTTCTCAAGTTCTCAACTGAAATGAGGAAGTTTAACCTCCATTGCAGACTTTAGCGGCCATGAAGTTGATTTGGGGAAGCGCTGAGACGCGATTTCGCTACGACATAGGGGATTTTGCCGCGGAGGGAGTTACGAACGCTGGCAAAAACTCGCGTGTTAGCGATCCTCAGAAAATCTTTATGCTGCCGCTTAAGTTAAGTCTTCGAAGGAGGTCTGACGAAGTTTTATAATAAGGCCACTTGAACATAGGGATTTCGGAACATAGGGATTTCGGAACTTAGGGATTTCGGAACTTAGGGATTTCGGAGCATAGGTATGTAACCCAAAATCTAATCATTTCTACCCACCTACCAAGTTCCATGACAATCCATCCATAACTTCTTGGGTTATGCTGTTCACAGACAAACAAATGGACAAACGCTACTGAAAACAAAACTTTCTTGGCAAAGGTAATAAAAATCCACATACACCTCAGGGTTGGACAAGTTAGATTGCCCGATTGCCCCGGGCAAGTAAAAGTACCAGTTGTAAGTACATGTACATCAAAGCACATGTCCCCCTGAACTTGCCTGACCGGGCAAAATTTGGTAAGAATGTTCATATTAATGCCAGTCATAATCACGTTCATTTGTCAAAAAACCCATTAGAAGTCCCTAGATACCATTATCTCGGGAAAAAAGAGCCCCGGGCAGTACCGCCAGTTATCACATGGGCCGGAACACCTATATCCAACGTTATCGCATTATATATATACCTGTATATCCAGTACATGGACCAGGTGCAGGTTAGGTGCAGACAGAT